TGGATAAAGAATACGTGGGTTTTTTATAAAATGGGGTACTACTCATCCACAAAAAAATGAGAATTTAGAGACATTTATAGTTAAATGGATGCACATTGAGACAATAGTCTTAAGTGAAATAAGTAGGACACATATGTGTAATTACCAAATTGTTGCTCTAGTGTGAGAAACTGAAAATGTAAATAAGGACTAAAAGGTATAACAGATAAAGTGAAACAGGAAGAAAAGGGGCAAAGGGGAAGGGAAAATGGAGGGGTGGGGAAAGGAAAGAAGGGAATAGAATTAATAAGATAAAATGAAAAAATGGAAACAAAGACTTTGTAGATAGGCAGGGATAGAAGGGTAAGAGGGAGGGCAGGGGAATGGGGAAAAAATAAGAACCAAGATGGATTGGGTAAAGGTGCAAATTTCCCAGTGATGAATGTCATTATATCGTATACCTAAAATGTGCAATCAAATTAATTTTAAAAAAATAAAAATAAAAATTTAAAAAGATACACTATTTGGAAACTAAGAAATACAATGTTCTTTGTTCAACAATGACATGGTTCTTTATGTAGAAAATATGAATGGATTAACAAAAAAGAAACCCTGGAACTAATAAATGAATATAACATGTTTGCAGGATATAAGATTAATATTAAAAGGACAATTGCCTTCCTATGCACCAGAAATGCGCAAGAGGTATTTGAAACTTAAACAATGCCATTTAAGTTAGTACTGTCAAAACTGAAATAGTTCAGCAGAACAAAATGTGTATAATACATAAATGAGGAAATTCTGATAAAAGATATCCAAGGACAAAATAAATGAAGAGCTATTCATGGATAGTAAAACTCAGTATCATCAAAATGACAGTTCTTCCAAATTTGAATGATAAATACAACAAAATCTTCATCAAAATCCTACTGCATTATTTAGTGGATGTCAACAAATCTACTTTAAAGACCACATATAAAGGTAAAAATGTCACACTAGCCAACACAATATTGAAGGAGAACAACAAGTGAGAGGCCTGACTGACGCTACCTGACGTCAGATTACCTTAGAGCTATAGCAGCTGGAAGGGTACGACATTGGAGAAAGAACAGACAACAACAGAAACAGAACTCAGCAAGAGACCCACATAAGTGCTGTTGACTGACTTCTGACAACAGAGCATACAATGTCTTTTCAACAAATGGCCACAGTAAAACTGGACATCCACATGTAAAGAGAATCTAGACACAGACACTGCACCCTTCAAAAATTAACTCAAAGTAGACCACATACTTAAGCTTGTGGATCTGGTTTATTTTGCTTAACATTGGGATCTTGAGTTGCATTCATTCTCCTACAAATGACTCAAGTTAATCTAATCTTTATGACAAAGTCATACTCCATTGTGTGTAATACCCCATTTCTGTATCCATTCATCGCTATAAAGAGCAAAAGAAGATACATAATAGGAGGTAGGAAGACAAATTTTCCTCAAAGGGGAAGAGGATCAGAGATGGAGGGAGGGGTGAGGGAGGGAAAGGAAAGGGGATAAAAAATAAATCAAGATGCATTATGTATGCATACCAACTCCACAAAGGAATGCAAACATTATATACTGCAAATATGTACTAATAAAGCAATGTTTCATAAAACAAGTGCTGGGGATACAGCTCAGTGCAAAGGCCCTGAGTTCAATCTTCAGTATCAAAAAAAAGAAAGACCATATCCATGAAAACCTAAAAGCATAAAAACTCTAGACAATAATATGTCTGTCCATTTTCTGTTGCTAACACAATACTTTAGACTGAGTCTTATAAAGACTAAGACTGAGACTTATATTGACTGAGAATTATAAAGAAATTTTTTGGTTTGTGGTTCTTGTTCAAGGTTATGGGGTCACATCCGATGGTAGCCTTCTCAAGTCAGTCTTGAGGCAGCTCAGGATGTCACATGACAAGAGCATGAGAGCACACAAGAGGCCTCGACAAACTGGCTTTTACAGTATATCTACTCTTCAGATAACCCATTAGTTCATCAATCCGCTCATCTCATAAATGGATTCATTCATTCCTGGGGATAGAGCCCAGTGCACTTCTAAAATGTCCCACCTGGTCCCGCCTCTTAATATCCCATAATGAGGGTTAAATTTCAACATTAGTTTTCAAGAGAAACAAAATATATTCAAACCATAGCAAGAAAAGAAAATCTAACTTACTTTGCTCATGATAACCTTCTAGATACAACTTTTTAGACACAAACCATGCAACAAATAACTGATAAGCTGGAATTCATTAAAACTGAAAACTCTGCTTTGTGAAAGGTATCAAGAGAATGAGAAGACATGCCACACACTGGGAGAAAATATTTACAAAATACTTATATGAACTTTATCCAAAACACACAAAGAACTCTAGAAATTCACTTCATAAATGGACAAAAGATCAGAAAAGATACCTCATCAAAGAAGGTATTTCACTGACAAATATGCAGATGAAAAGATGTTCAAAATCATTATGGAATTACAAATTAAAATGATATAACACAATAATCTACTAGAATGGCCAACATCCAAAACACTGGCACCACCAAATGTTAGCCAGGATGGAGAAAAGAAGAAACTTTTATGCATTGCTTATGAGAATGTACAACGGCTCAGCCACCTTGAAAGACAGTTTGGCAGTTTTCTAAAAAACTAAGCACATTCTTACCATATGATCCGGCAACAGTGCTCCTTGGTACTACTCAAATGTGTTGGAAACCTATATGCACATATAAATCCACACATAAATGTTTATGGCAGCTTTACTCATAATTGACACACCTGGAAGCAGCCAAGAATAAATAAACAAACTATGGCACATCCAGTGAAGTATCATTCAGCCTTAAAAACAATGAGCGATTGAGGTTTAAAAAGACAAGAAAAAAACAGAAGTGCATATTATGAAATGAAAAATGCCAATAAGAAAATGTTACAAACTATCCAGGCACTACTGGGAGGTCCTGTGGACCTTTAATAGGCAGGGCTTAAAGGGAGGTGTTTAGGCCACAGGCCATGGAAGTCTTCTTGTTCTCCCCTGCCCCTCTGTTCCTGGCTCCAGATGTGAGTACTCCACCACCTGCTCCCACCCTGCCATCCGCCAGCCTCATCAGGGATCCAAAGAAAGGAGGGTGTCCAATATTTCAGTTAAACCTCCAAAACTATGAGGAAAATAAACTTCTGTTCACTTCCTAATTAGCCTGCCTCGGGGATTTCATTATAGTAACACAACTAACAAGTACATCCCCATGCCTTCCATCCATCCACATTTTCAGCATTTTTCAAAAACATATTGTTAACTATAGTCACCATGCTGTAAAATAGATATCCTGAGCTAATCTCTCCCACCTAACTGAAATTTTCCATCTTTTAACCAACCTCTCCCAACCACCCTTCGATTTCCCTAGTCCCTGGTAAACACCATTCAACTCTCTATTTATGAGATTAACCTTTTGGAATCCACTGAGAGGTTATTTCTATTAAAATCTTTATGACTATTTTCTAAATCAGTGTTTCCCAATCCCCAGGCCATGGATGAGTATTGGTCGATGGCCTGTTAGGAAACAGATCACAGCAAGAGGTGAGCGGTATGCCAACCACAAAGTTTATCTGTATCTTCAGCTGCCACCATCAGATCAGCAGTAGCATTAGATTCTCAGAGGAATACAAACCCTACTGTGAACTGTACATACATTGGAGGGATCCAGGATGAGTGCTCCTGGGAATCATTCCAAATCCATCCCTCCCCCTGCCACTTCTCATGGAAAAACTGTCTTCCACAAAACCTACCCCTGGGACCAAAAACTTGGGAACTGTTGTTCTAAATAACTACAGTCATAATATACTGATATAATAAGTGAAATACTGCTTATTGTTGCTTTATCATATTAGTATTTTCAAAATTAATTCCTTTTAACCATCTCCAGAGGGTAAATTTGAAATAAATAAATGTACTTTTAAAAGCTACACGTAAGTTGAATCTAAAACTGAAAATGAATTACTGCGATTCCTCTTTTCCATAATTTTTAAGGTAACAATTACATTAACAGTATCAAAATACAACATCTATATATGACATTTGGAGAAATAAATTTTAATATCATTTTAGTTCACTGAAAGTAGAAATTTTATGGAAAAAGTCATCAAAGAAAAGTTTTGACTTAACTACCAATACACATAGAGTAAAAAGGTCATTAGCAACAATGTAGTAAAGAATTTTTCATCTGAATAGTTTAATAAAAACAGAGAAGAAGCTTTAAGAAAAATAATTTAATAACATTATTATGAAAACATTTTAATAATAGAGATATTCTATATTGACTGTTATATATTATTAACTGAGATTAATCATATTTAGTTAGATAATAAGAAGCTGTGAACACAGAGATAGATCTTTTAAGATATTGCACATTTTAAATATTTCCACTCTCACAGATAACACTGAAAGAGCAGAGTCTTCCATTAAACCCCACATAAGAATTCAATACCATCTCTTTCCACAAATGCACGCAGACAATATTTACAGCAAAAGCAGAAACCAAAATGGCAAAAATTCAAGAACCATTTCTCCGTGGGGTTTCATCATCTTTGTTAACTCTAGCATTATTCTCATCTGGTTCAGGAGGAAAGGAGCCCATGGATCCACAATTTTAAAATATCGCCATTTCTCAAAGAAAATATATCTACTTTATCACCTACTGGCTCCAAAAGCAGCTATTTTGCTTCTCCTCTACCTCCTCCATTCACAACCTTTCACCACAGCCATTTTTCTAGTAATCAGCACGTTCAAACGGAAATCATGGGGGAAAGTAGATGAAACGCAACGGAGGGTAATCAAATACAACTTTTACAGGTGTTTAATACAATGAGATTTCAAAGTGGTGGCTACAAAGATGTTCATATCATCTGTGCAATCTTTTCATCCTGATGTTCTCAGAACATATGATCCACAGTAGTCAGACCCACAAAACCAAAAACAACTTACCTCATCCACATTTTCAAAGGCATTGATGATGTCATAAGGTAAACAAGACAGCAGATCAATCACGAACCAAGTTTTCAGGTAGTTCATCCTTATGAGTTTAGGATCAGAAATGACCTCTCCACCAGGCCCCACAAAAGTGGTGTGGAAATTTAAAACAATATCAACCAGAAAAATAACATCCACCACACTGTCCAGCACCAGCCAGGCTATATTGTTCTGCTTTGTTTTGAAAGAAACGTTGTAAGGAACCATAATGGCCGTGTAGAAGGTAAGAATTAAAATCACCCAATCCCACGTAGTTTTAAAAGCACAGTAGTGTAAAATAATGTGTGGTGGTGTCTTTGGAGCTTCTTGTTTATACTGAGGAAGGATATCTGATCCCAGCTGAAGAACCTAAAAGAGAGAAAAAGTATCTATGAACAACTTGCCCATCTCTGCACACCTGGCGGTGAAGTAAAACTGTCAAAGCACAGCCCATTTGTCCTCACTGCTTGCTTCAAGGCCAGGCATGCTACATAGCTTTGTCTCCATCTTGAGAATTGTCCCACATTGAAATTGGTTCAAAGCAAGTCACTCCAGCTGGGGATTTGGCTCAGTGGTTGTGGCGCCTGCATTTCAAGCACAAGGACCTGAGTTCAATCCCCAGTACCAAAAAAAAAAAAAAAAAGAAAAAAGAACAGAAAAACAAAGCAAGTCACTCCAAGACCAACTACTTCAAGGAAGTTGGTCTCTTTACTTCTCCACCTGCCTTGCTCTCCAGCGGCCAAGACTGGCCAGCGACACCCGGGCCTTCTGAACCCAACTTCACAGGCCTGCCTGGAACCACTTTGCTTTTCACAGTATGTGTGATTCACCTTACCCATTATTCACACATAGTTAGAGAAGTATTTGATTCTGGCAGCTTTGCTGAACCCCACGGCCCCACTGTTGGTGGCCTCGCTACTGAGAAAGTCAGCAAGCACTCTGTTGATTAGCATAGTAGTATATGGAATTGGGTTATGCAATAGCCGGCTTTTTTCCTTTTCTCCCTAAACGGGGACATAAAGAGTTTCCTGCCAGATGCAAATTCCCTACAGGAAAAAATGCTAAATACTCAGGTTTACTTCTCCATACCTCTTGGATAAATGAAAACATTTTAGTCCAAGACTGTATGAACCTTAATTTATTCTGTTTAAGTCTAATTAAAGAAACCAAGAAAAAGCAGATGTCAAAGCAAGGGGAGAGTCTTGGGGACCCCTGGATGAATGGGACAAACGGGGGACTTAGCACTGTCTTCTGAAACTGAAAGCTGGAAATTGTAGAAGGATTGAAGAAGCACATCAAAAACCTCTGTTCCAATGTTCCACATCACTGGTCATTCAAGAGATGCAGATGAAAACAACCCTGAGATTCCACCTCACCCCACAAAGAATGGCAGCTATGAAGAAATCAATCAATAACAAATGTTGGCGGGGTTGCAGGAAGAAAGGAACCCTTTTCCACTGCTGGTGGGAGTGCAGACTGGTGCAACCACTATGGAAATCAATATGGAGATACCTCAAAGAGCTGGGACTAGGGGTTCCATTTGACCCAGCCATCCCTCTGCTGGGTATCTTTCCAAAAGGATTAAAAGATTCATACCACAGAGATATATGCGCACCCATGTTTATAGCGGCACAGTTTGTAATAGCTAAAACTTGGAAACAGCCCAACTGCCCATCAACAGGAGACTGGACAAAGAAAAATGTGGTTTTTCTATAAAATGGACTACTACTCAACCACAAAGAAAAACTACAGACATTTACAGCTAAATGGATGCACACTGAGGTGAAACTCTTAAGTGAAATAAATAGGACACACACATGTAGAAATACAGAATAGTTTCTCTAGTGTGAAAACTAAAGTGTAAATAAGATCCAAATTGATTGACAAGGTGAAAGAGGAAGAAAAGGGATAAAGAAGTAGGAGAAGTGTAAAGGATAGGGGAAAGGAAAGAAGGGGGAAAAAATATGAGAAAAGGACAAAATGGAAACAGTCTTTTAAACAGGGGAGGGGGGTGAGGGAGGGTAGGAGTGCGGGGAAAAAATGAGAACCAAGACCTGTCATGTAAAGGTACAAGATCCCAATCATGAATGCAACTGTAATGTATACCTAAAATGTCCCAATAAACTTAATAAAAAAATTTTTAATTAAAAAAAGTCTCTGCTCCATCCCATCAAGCTCAGAATAATATGTGTTGAAGAATTTTCTAAGTGGGAACTTGGTGTTTTGGGTTTTGTTTTGTTGTTATGTTGATGGCGGTGGTAGTTTTGCATATAAGTGAATAAATTTTACTTTGCAATTTTTATTCATGTATTTTTTTACTTCTAAAGGTTTTTGTTTTGTTTTGTTAAATAACACTTCCAACAGACTTTGCCCAACTTACCCAACTAATTATTCAGTGTCTCTAGAACTAATGGAACCCAGGAGGTAGGAGATGAAGAGTCTAAATCATAAATGCATTAAACATTTGAGTGCAGAAGCAGATATAAACAGAAGTACTCATTAGCATGTAACTGTGGGTTATACAGCACAAAGCAAAACAAATATACAGGCATCTTTTGAAACTTGAGAGACTATCCTAAAATTTCTCTCATAAATTGAAGTTACATAACTGATTACCAAGTATACAACATCTATTCTTACTATTTTCAACATGAAATATTTTAGTAGGAGGGTTATAAAAAAGTATTTTCAGGATCTTTTATGTATTTGCCTATATTGCCAGTGCCCCGTGAATATTTTTCTCATAAATTCTTTTTTGTTTGTTTGGTTTATTTTTGTTTTGTTTTTGGAGATAGGGTCTCACTATGTAGTTCAGGCTGGCCTTGAATTTGCAGCAATCCTCCTGCCTCAGTCTCCCCAGTGCTGGGATTATAGGCATGTGCCACCACACCCAGCCTGTAAATTCTTAAATTACTTAGCAACAAATTATTCTACCAGGACTATGAGCTTTGTGTTGTGACAGGGTTTTAAATGTAAAGAACTGTACATAAGAATGGCTTCTCTTTTTGTCTTTCAGCAATTGGTCTATCAGTTCCAACTTCACTGCGGGAACCAGGGAAATTTCCTTCTCACACAGTGTTACTATTTTTAAATTAATTTTATTGGTACATTTTATGTATACAACATAGTGACATTCATCATTGGAAATTTGCACCTTACATAATCTATCTTGGTTCTTATTTTTTCCCCATTCCCCAGCCCTCAATTCAACCCCTCTGTCCTTCCCTATTTACAAAGAATTTGTTTTTTTTCATTTCTCATATTAATTCCATTCCCTTCTCTTTTCCCCACCCCTCCCATTTCCCCTTCCCCTTTGTCCCTTTTCTTCCTGTTTCACATTATCTATTATACCTTTTAGTCCTGATTTATACTTTTAGTTTCTCAAACCAGAGAAATTATTCAGTATTTACACGTGTTCTGTTTATTTCACTTAAGAGTACCACCTCAGTGTGCATCCATTCAGCTATAAATGTCTCTAATTTCTCATTTTTTGTGACTGAGCAGTACTCCATTTTATTTAAAGCACATACACATCTTCTTTATCCAGTCTCGTACTGATGGGCAGTTGGGCTGCTTCCTAGTTTTAGCTGTCACAAATTCGGCTGCTATGAACATGGGTGCACATATATCACTGTAATGATTCTTTTAATTCTTTGGGGAAGAAACAGGGAAATAGCTGGGTCAAATGGGACCTCCAATCCTAGTTCTTTGAGGTATCTCCATACTGATTTCCGCAGTGGTGGCTCCAGTCCGCACTCCCACCAGCAGTGGGGCAGGATTCCTCTTTCCCCACAGCCCCGCCAGCATTAGTTACTCACTGATTTCATGACAGCAGCCATTCTTTATGCGTGAGGTGGAATCTCAGTGCTGTTTTCATTTGCATCTCTCAAATAACCAGTGATGTTGAACACTTTTTCATATATTTATTTTCTATTCCTACTTCTTTGTCTGAGAAACATCTGTTCATTTCAGATGGCCACTTTTGGATTGGGTCTTTAAATTTAGGAAGTCTGATTTTTTTAAGTTCTTTATATATTCCAGATAGTAGACCTTTGTCTGAAAAATATCTGATAAACATTTTTTCCTACATTGTGGGCTGTCTCTTCACACTGTTGGTGGTTTCTCTTGCTGTACAGAAACATTTTAATATGAAGAGATCCCGTTTGTTGATTGTGCTAATTCATGAGCAACTGAGGTTTTGTTCATAAAATCTTTTTCTACACCAGTGTCTTCAAGAGATCTACCTAACCTCTCTTCCAGCCAATTTAGGGTTTCTGTTTTAATATTTAGATCTTTAATCTATTTTTATTTTAGTTTAGTGCATGGTGAGAGATATATGTCTAATTTTAATCTTTGGCAAGTTGAAATCCTGTTTTTCCAGCACCATTTATTAAAGAGGCTATCTTTCCTCCAGTGAGGGTGTTTGGCTCCCTTGTCGAAGACGAGGCAGCTGAGTGTGCCTGGAGTTGTTTCTGCATCTTCTAATCTGTTCTCCTGGTCCTCACATCTGTTTCTTTGCCAGTACCATGCTGTTTTTATCACAGTAGCTTTGTAGTATAGTTTGAAGTTGGGATTGTGATGCCCCCTACCTTATCTTTATTGTGTAGAATTGCTTCTGTTATTTTAGGTCTCTTCTTGTTCCAAATGAATTTTTGGATTGTTTTCTCAAGGTCTGTGAAGCATGCTGCTGGAATTTCAATTGGGATTACATTGAGTCTATATAGAAATTTTGGAAGTATGGTCATTTTACCATTTATATCTACATAAAGTAGTTTGATCACAAAGAAATCAAATTTGGGAAATAAGAAAAAACTGAGGGTAAGGGGTATTACTACCTACACATGGGCCACAGGACCCCATCTTCCTGCTAAAAAAAATTAAAAATATATTTTATAACTATACTGGTACAAAGAAAAATATATTAATATTATATATTTCTGCTTAAACATTCTTTTTTCTTTTGCTTTTAATAGAAATCAAAATGCTGCTTTAAGTGTTGTGGGCCCTAGACACCGCCTGCTGTGTTAATGAACATGTCCCTGCCCAGTACTGCGGAAAAATGAAAAACCTCTGCTCTCACTCCCGAGTTTAGTATGTCTAAAATCTGACTACGCATTAGCACCACCTGGAGAGCTTGTAAAACATACAATATACTCCCACCTAAACCCCACCTCAAAGAATGACTGAACTGGTCTTGTGTGGGCTCTGTATTTTCAAAGCCTTCCAGGAGGTGCTGACAATGTACAGATCAGACGAGATCCTCGCCTTATATTTAGCCATCCCCAAACCGATTATTTAGACAGTGACGAACATATCGAAAAGGTTCTCAAAATGTGAGATGAGGAGGAGGAAGAGCAAGAATAGGAGGAGAGAAAAGGCTGTTGTAGGAAGAGGAGATGGAGGAGGAAGAGAAAGGAAAGAAAGGGGCAACAATAACAAAGACAGCCACGCGTGCGTTTAGGTATCACTCTTTCTTGTGAGCAGCCATCATCACCGGGCTCCACAACTGGGTTCTGTTATGAGGCAATGAGTAATAATTCTTCCCTTTCACTATTTCATTGCACCTTCATAAGCCATAAGCCTTGGATGAAGAAAGGATGAAATCACCCTTTTGATGTATTGTATCAATACACACACATTCTTCCTCTTTGAAGATCTGAGAGCACTGACTCTAACGGAGTTGGGCCCACTGTCAAGGCTAGGATGTGTGTATTTATCTCCCTGCAGCATAAATGTGAACCAGCTGAAGACCATCAGCACAATGCCAATGCTTGTGGAAAGTCAATTAACTTCTTATGTGGAGACTAGAATCTTTCCAACTGGGGTTGAGCTCCAAAATTAGGAGATAGGTGAAACTGAGTTCAAATTCACATCTTAGGAAAAGAGAAAAAGCCTAAATTCCACAGCAAAACCAGATACTTTACTTGAGCAAATTATATAAATCTTTGGGATAACCGGAAAAACAACCTTCTTGTGTTAAGTTGGTACTGCTTTTGAATATGTTTTTGAAAGTCTAAGGACACAGTGCCATCAAAAATCTAGGATTTCTAAGTGTTCCCTTGACATAGATTAACAACAAGAACAAATCCTGAGTTATTCAGCGGGCTAAGATAGAGAGTTTTCTTCTCTAGGGAAACCTTTTTCTTGTTCTTATCCAGTAACATAATATGGGAAGGGAAATGTGTGAATAAGGTATAGTTGATCAAGACCCAGGAGAATTCATGACTATAAAATTCAACAGCCACAGAAACTAGCTCTTATTCTTCAGGCGGATTTGGATTTAGACATGGACAACTTCAGGCAAACAAGAAGGTGGTATCAAAAACAAGTAGTACTTAATAACAGGCACCGCTGAAAAACTAAGTTGTATCTAATCATTTTAAATAGTGTTCTAATTTCATATAACCTTTTTAATTTTACAAATAATTACAGTAACAGTGATGTTAATGTCTTATTTGCATTTTTAAAACATATCTATTTTTAAAACATTTTAATACCTCAAAGTATTAATCTTTCCCCAAGCTAACAGTGTTATTTAGAGCAGAAAACTATAACAAGTCTTTCTGTTAACTACAGGCTAAGAGAAACTCCACAGCTGTCTAAATTGAAGGGACATATTTTACTTCCTAACCCTCTCTAAACTGGATATCATATTTACAACTATTTTTAAAAGTTACTCTGGTGTGCAGCTCAGTGCTCTCTGGCAGAGTAAACTGATGAACATACACATTTCACTTTATCTTGCTCCTCTTTGTAAGTCACATCAGAAGATTTTCTGAGTGCCCACTTTTTGTTCAGCATAGTGGTAGCTTAGTTGGCATCTTTCATACCAGTTAGACAAATGTCTGAAACAAAAATCATAGACTTATCCTTTTCTCATCATCTTGCCTCACAGTTCTCATCTACCAGCGAGCGTGTGGACTCTAATCCTGGTGTGGCTATAATCTGCTGACTTCCATGCTTAGGCTCATTCCAGCTAAATTACTATTAGGGCTTCATAATTGGTTTCCTGCACTCAGTCTCCACAGAGCAAGTAAGTCAGGCGAGGGATTTCAATCACCCTATGCCTCAGATCCCTTTTGTAATCTGGTGAGAGCTAAGGACCCCTTCTTTAAATGTCTTTAAATTAATACAGCAAAAGCATGACATACAGTGGACCCTCCAGTTATGACCAGCCTGACACAATTTGGGTTACAACTGGAATTTCAGTTTTAACTTACAAAGTCTCAGGTTACAAACCAAATTCCGGCAGCTTGTGCTTCCAAGTGGCCTGAGATACAGATTTAATCCTTAAAGAGTTCTAGAAGGAGCACTACAACATCCTTTCCTGTGTGGGGTTAACTGATAAAGCCGGTGAATGTCTCTCTAATGACAGTGAGAGCTGCCTGGATACAGGAGAGAAAATTTGAAGACTGTGTAGAGGAGCCTGAGACTTCATTGACCAACCTGAATTACAGCCAGCCCTTGCAAACAAATCGAGTTTTTCTGTCAAGGGTCCACTGCATAAAAGAAATCAGCTGGGACCAGTCTCTCTTTAAGAGATTTACCAGACACATGAGACATTAACCACCACCATCTTACTGCACACCACCCTAACCTGTCCTTCCCCACCTGAATTCAACCATACTGAAGGCACACTGGACCCCTCGTCCTGTATCACCCTAGAACTTTGCATATGCCAGCCACCCTCCTGGACCTGCCTTCCAGACTCAGTTCACCCAGGATTCACTCACTCAGGCATCTGCCTACAGGCCTACCTCATACATCCCCACTGCATTCCGCATGGTCTTACTAACATTCTGTGGTCACTTTCCTCTGCTGTGTTTTTCACTTCCTGACGGCGAAGCCCATTGCTTATTCAGCTCTATGTCCTTTGCAGCGAGCCAAGCACAGAGCAAACCCTTCACACGTTCTTGCTGCACACACAATTGCTCCAATGGTGTCACGATCTTCAAAAGTTGGAGAGGATAAAAACAAATACTTGGGATTTCTCCACTTCTACAAGGGGAAAATTAATTAACACCTACCTGTTTTAATATGATGGCAGGAAATATTTATATGGAATCACTTGGGACAAAAAAATGTGCCAACACCACCATCCTGTGAAGCAAAGCTAGCCTCACACTTACCTCAGCTAATCGTGAGTGCTTGTGGGCCACCTCTGTTTTATTCATTGGCGTAAGCTGCTGCAAAACACTCCGGCTGTTTGTCAAAGCCCGCGTCAATCGGGCAAACTTCGTCCAACCTTAAAAATACAGAAAGAAAGTCTTGCGTTTTCATATAGAATAAACAAGGAATCCAAGATTCTGGCTAATACGCAAAGCACCACAGCCATCACAAAACATCAAGAACAAATGAGAGGAGTCAACCTAAAGCATTTGAGGTCCACAAAGACACTGCCATATATTTAACATGAAGATATAAAATAATGAGCAGTTTCTACGCGTGACCTTTGCACTGTGCCCATGTCTATTATGTGCTCCCTGTAGCCAAAGCTGGTGACTGTCGACAAAATTCAGGGCTCCCGCTCACGTTCCACGGGTCTCTCTCGGGAAGCCAGCCAGCTCTTTCCAGTTCTCAGCGTTTCCCATCATTCCTTGTGTGGCCCATGTCACTGCTTCGCACCAATGGAAGGTGAGCAGACACGTGTCACATCCATGTCGCAGATGCAAGTGTGCCTCCGGCACCTGTCTCCACCTTCTGCCAGCTGGATGTAAATGACAAAGCCCTGGGGGACACAAAGATCCTGGATCCCAGTTTGGAAGAACGCCGTATGCCTGCCAGGATCACTCAGCTTGGATTGTTCTGCAAACATGTGCTTCGATGATGTCGAATGATTATTATATCTATTTCATTAGTGATAATACAGTATTACTGCAATGTTACTGTTAACTTGTTATAGCAGCTAGTGTTACCCTAATAAAAACAGTACTGTAGGGCACTTGAGTGACGATACTCACACATAAGGGAAAAAAAAGTCCAGTTTCAACACATCTCACGTAGTATGGTTCATCTTCCTTGCAACACAGCAAAATTGTTATTTCTCTCATTAACAACTGCAGTGATATATAAAATTACATTTAGGATATCTAGAATCCTAATGTTTTCTAATAGAATTGTAGCTTCTGGGGGAAAAGGATATGAATTTAATGGGAAAGAAAATTCTTCTGGATGCTCAAATTATCAGTATTAAACTCATTAATTTCAAGGATACATCAATGAGATATTAAGACATGAAACAAAGCCAACCATATTCTGGTCCTATATCAACGATCCTTTCTCTGGGTATCTCAAAAGCTCTGTAGAGTAAATATTTCACTAAGCTATTTGATAATTTCTATGGCACTACAGAATTTACCAAAGAACTCTACCCAATAAAAGAAACTACTGGTCTAAGTGAATGATATTTAATGGCATGATGAAATTTCAGATAATGTAATAAAAGATGACAGAAGAAATCCAGGACCTACATTAGCTTGTTACCTGTAAAATCACACAATGAAAGTGATATTAGTTTTCACCACTATGCCTTTACCAGGAACATCAAAGTAAATATTTATCTTAACTGGGCCTGGGTGGTAGTACAGGAGTCCAGTACATGAAAAGGAGCCCTCCTAGACTAAAATCCAAGAAGTACTTCTGAAATGCTATCTATAAAGCAGCTAGTAACCCTGTTCCACTGAGAGGGAGGCATAAAAAGGCTGAAATCAGAGAATCCTCTGGAAGGCTTGCTGTGAAAGTTGGGTCGAAATTATCAAGGAAGGTAAATTTGAATGGATTCAGGAAGGACATCAAGGCAGCCACAGCAGTGGCTGGACATTTTGTACATCCGCATTTGTTTTATTATCTCCAGGCTTAGGTTTGGTTTCTCATGTTGGGTAAAAGTGGTGAGGGTGTCCCTCAGTTGACAGTAATTATATTAGTCATAACTGTATTAAACAATTACTTGATAATGATTTCCATTTTTTATATCAGCTAAACATTAGAATTCTATAGACTATTTCTAGAAACTTCCAAGTCAAGGTTTTATTTACTGAATGTTCATATTTCTAAGATAAGTAATGTTGCAGTCACTTTTTATACATGAGTTGGATTAAAAGAGAAAACCATTTTCATTCCCTGTGTATAATGAAGTTTATCTAAAAATTTTTTTGTAAGTATAAAAGGAGATACCAAAAGAATAAATTCTTTGACACAGGAAGGATACAAATTTTCTTGAATACAAAAAGACATTAAAATTGAATATATCCTTTTATTTCATAGCATTATGTAAGAAATAAGTATTTGAGGAAGGAGACACAGGACAATGAAAGCTTATCGCCATACTCTGTTTTTTTTTAATTGAAAAGCACAACATCTTACTATTTTTTTTAATAAGGAATCAGTGGTTCCTAATTTAGGTATCAAAAAAGCTTGATCAAATATCCATGTGTGTGTAAATATTATTTGAATAAAATAATATGTAATACATAGTGCAGATAATACTAATGATTATCAGTAATATGATCAAGAAATATCTCATCCCATCACCTTATTTTAATTTCTTAAAGAAAAAGTTTTAGAACAGTTGTTCTAAATGTATCTTTTTCTCCAGAGATTAAAAGTAGGACTATCATTGAATAATAACAGAAAGAAACTGAAAGATATAACATTAATTCATCATTTCTAAAAGTGCTTTCAATCAGTATATTCTGAGTAAGACTACACTTCAACATAAAACAAAAAGGAGTTTATTGCATAGTATGACTTTACCGGTCATTTTTTCTATCTTTGGTTGTCTATCACCAGGACTAGCACAGAGTGGGCACTAAATATGTTTTTGTTGAATGAATGAATGAATGAGAAAACGAGTTAAAAAGTTAAACAGGAATTAAAAGAGCATCTGTATTATATGTTAAAATTAAAACAAGGAAATATCAGCTCTTAACGGTGTTCACATAACATATATAAAGGAAGAGCTCTGGGCGGAAGCTGAGCAGGGGACGGGACGGACGCGCTGAAGATTTAAATTCTGTCTTAGGAAAGGAAATTGGGGGCGTGCTCACAGAAAGAGAAAGACAGTGGCAAATGCTGAGCTCACGTGGGCACGCTGAGAGAGAATTTAAGGAGGAAAGATGTGGAAAAGATTCATCCTTCCCAGAGAAATCAGAGCCAAAGGCAAATATCAGATGAGTAATCATTTACAAGCTTTCTACCAAGGCTCCCTAAAAGATGGAGAACCGCTGTGATGTGAGAGGTGTTTTCATTTCACATTTAAATCAATGGGAACCCTTGAAGAGGAGCTCCTGTGATGCTCATAATCTTTCCCTTTCTCTCCACGTAGAGCCTCCTCACAGTCCCCAGCTCTAAGCAGAAACACTGTTCTCGAGATAACCACATTAGGCCTCTCTTCTCACTTCTATCACGTACCCAACACTGGCTACATCAGGAACAGAAGCTGCAAGAAGTCGCCCTCCACTTCCCTTCTCTTCCAGCTCTCCGCCAACCCACAGCAGCACCTGCTTCTTGCCAGCACCTCGGTCATCCCAGAGAATTAAGCTCTGCTCTTTCCTGACCGTGTGTATGTTCCACGCACACACGCTGAGGCAGTTCCTAGGTTCTCACTATCACAAACAGCGCCACACTGAATTCCCTCACGTCTCTCCCCTGGTGCTCTTGAACACATCTGGAATTGCTCGTGTTACTGGCTAAATTAGTCTACTTGATCTCTCACCAACACTCATTACACAGTCAAACTTTGAAAAAAGTGGGGCAGCCACACTGTCTAGGTCAAAGGGAAAAGACAGATGCATCAGCAGCTCTGACTTTGCCCAGCAATACACATTTACTGATCTCACCTTTACAGAAACCTGACTGGTGTGACTGATGACTCAGCACAGCTTGCTGATGTTACTTAGCTGTGGTCGATACGGGGTAATATGAACAGACAGCTGAATATGAAGAGTCTAATACTTGCTCTGTAAGTTGTTCGTGGCCTTATGAGAACATTTGTTCTTCTCAAAGCTCAGGACGCCAAGTGCTTCTTAATAAAATATTAGTTTAGCTCTCTTGGGTTGCAATTAACCTTTTTGTCATGAACTGCCTAATCTTAAAAATGAAAGGAAGTCACAGAGGCAGTTAAATCAATCTATTTGACTGCAACACAAGATTCTAATCTATAAGAAAAAAAGCTTAGGTAAACAATTATGCTCTTGGGCAAAGAGACTACAGGGGAGAATTATTCACATTCCATCTGTGGTTTCCTCTCTGAAGAAACACACTGGCTTTCACAAAACGATGCTATTTCTGCTATTATTTTATGCTATTATTTTATTTTATGGCAAGAAGTTGCCATAACTATTTGGCACAGGATATTTCACACCTCAATTATCTTGGCAATTTTGGAGCCTGTTTGAAAATACTGTACAGTATAAATGGGTAGAGCTTTGGGCCATCTCTTTTAGAACACATAAGATAATCAACAGAATGGATTTCTTGGCTGTGATTTCTCACCTTTGTATTATTATAAATAATGTATCAGTTATTGTGCATGGCTTGTTTGAACAGCAGCTCCAAAATCTAAATACCAGGAACAAAAGATAACAAGGATACTTTGACCCTCTGAATTACCAGCAAGATTTTGGGGGAGGGGGCATTCAAAAAATACAACTCTATCAGAGTGACAGGGTTCTCTGCCTCTACAGAAACTTTGGTTTGCACATGTGCTTAGTTTCTGTAGGGAGAAAGAAGAGCAGGAGATCAAGATGGCTGTACCCCAAGAATAAGTTTCCAGTGGAAAAGACAAGGTTAGTATGGTTTAAAAAGAGAGAGAACATGGACTTGAAATCAGTCAGATGCTGACCGTCGGGCTCCTCAACAGTAAGATGGAGAAAATACTACTAATTTTCAAAATTATAGGAATGAGCAGTAATGAATCTAATGTCCCGCCATATATTGAGCACTCCATCAAGGCTAATATTCTTCCCCTTCAGTAGGCTCTGCTCCTGCCCACTGTGGTGTAAGCCCTAGGCATTGTTGACACCACCCACTGCCCCTCAGTTTAAGGGCAAAAAAGAAGCAATTTGAAATGAAATTTTGCTGATCACAGGATTCGTTTTAAGAAAAAACTGCACTCGAATTAGTTGGCTGCCGTCATGTTACAGTTTCTGTCCCTGATATGACTCAGGAATAAAATTCAGAATTAATCAATTTATTCAAGTCTTTCAACCAAATGCCCGAGTTCTTGGTAAAAGTACCAGTACAGGAGAAGGAAATTTACGTCAATTCCAACCAGTCTGTTTGGACAGATCTTCAAGGGACATAGGCCTCTGCTCCCATCCCTAGACCATGCACACACACATTAAGCAACAAACAGTTCTTATTCTGGGATCACACTCTGGTTCTGTCTGTGTGGAGATTTACTTATGTACTCTGAATCCCAAAGCACTATTTCCTCCTATATGCTAGCAGAAGTTTACCACCAAATATTTATTCTAAAAATCTGCTAACACCTTCAATCTATTATTTTACAAACGTCCCTCAAATCCCTGATGCTTGATTATTCTCATCTTATTATCAAACCAAATCCCAACGCTGGGTAAATCCAATTTTTCCCCTACTTTTGCATCTATTCCCCTTCGAAATAAAACACAGAACCATGCTTTCACAGTTGTCAAACTGAGGACCACAAGCTCCAAGAGGACCTTCAGGCTGGGAAGCGATCCTGTTGTATTTTCCTGTCCGTTCACGGTCTCACTCTCTTAGGTCACCAGGGCATACCCACTCTTCCCCTCCATCCTTCACCATCCTTGCTTCTAGTTGATAACCAAGAACACAGGACTGTTCTTCTGATTGTTTGTCAGTCCTCCTCACTGAAATAAGGCAGAAGGGACTTTGATTCTCCAAGGATACGTTCTTAATCTACATCTTTGGTTGGAAAAGATAGATAAATGTATGATAAAGAGAACAAAATATCCCTTTTTAAAAAAAGGTCATGAAAAGGTTTATATTAAGTACCTCTCACACCCCAGACCAAATCAAAAGTAAGCCTACAGTCTCCAAATTCAGTGCTTTAGACCCAAATCATTTTGACATTGTGATGTTATCACAGTATCTTCTCTGCTTGTTTTCCGAAAGTTTCCTGATCTCTTTTATTTCACTTAGAAAGTTGAAAGGTATGTTATTGTACCAAGATTTCAACAAATACTTTCTTGTAGTGCTAGCCGCAAAGATATAGTAGGATGATGATCCTCATGGTATAAATATTTCATTTGTTTTGAATATTTCATACGAGACATACATCTCACATGAATAATAGAAAGTAGCTTATATCCAGCATTCAGTTATATTGTGTAATACTTCTACAGTATACAAGTATATATCTGGAAGGTGTGCAGGAGTCTCACAATAAATATCTTTAAAATTAAGTTCTTTTGCTAATAATTCTGGCACTGGTAGGAGATATTTCACTATGATACTTTTCACAATGGGGGGTAGTTTTCTTTATAAATTTTCAATTGCATGTCTACTGAGCCCATAGTAGAAAAATCAAGTGGTCTGAGTTGTCTAGGACTTATTCAAACATTACGTTTTTATAAAGGTGAATAATTCATTCAAAAGAGACTGTGCCTTACAAAGTACTCTGTGATTCTGATGTGGGGATGCAGAGAGAAGGAGGTAGAGGGCAGAGATGTACACAGGCATTAATTTCAGAAATAAGTGCACTCTTCAAAGTCAGTGCCCTCCCCCCACTCATTCTAAAATACTGCCAACTTTCCATTTCCACAAATAGACGTGTAGCTACTGACTCCATCATTCAGGCTCAGCAGGCCGAAACAGTGAGTAGGGAGGGCTGTCCTTTTCTTGGCCAGCTTCAACTGTGTCATGAAATCACTTAAAGTAAAACAGACAGAAGACAATGCCCATCTAATACAAATACAAGGGCTTCTTAGGGATGATGAGTGTGGCAACGCTTGCTATTCAGGCTGCTATTATTTATGTGCAAAGGCACCCAAAATTCATTTGAAGACTCTATTAGGTGACAAATCATATGTCAATCATTTTATCTTTTATTTAAAAATAAATCACTTTAAGATATAGTCCACTGTTAGCTGTGGGTTTTTCACAGATGTTCCTTATCCATTTGAGGAAGTTCTACTCTGCTACTTTTCTCTGAGTTTTATCATGAATGGGCTCTGAGTTTCACCAAATGCTTTTACCCCGCTGAGTGATGACCATAAATGTCTTCTCCACTAGCCTGCTGATGTAGGGGACTACAGGTCTTGGATGCTGAATGTTCAGCTAGTCTTACACACGTGAGCTGAATCCCACTTTGCTGTCATCTGTAATTCTTTTGTAGATGGATGGATTCAATATTTTGAGGCTTTGTATATTGATATTTACAAAATACACTGGTCTCTAATTTCCCTTTGATGTGTCTTTTTCTGGTTCTGGTACAGGGTAGCGCTGACCTCACAGAAACAGGTAGGAAGTTCCCTCCACTTCTATTTTCTGGAAGAGACATGGAGAACTGGTACTATTTCTTCCCTAAATGACCACTAGAATTTACTGATGAAACCATCCACACTTTGTTTCCTTAAATTCAGAAGATTACTCATTATTTATTAAATTTTAATAGATATAGGGCAACTGAGATTATCTATTTCTCCTTGTGTGAGTTTTGGTAATTTGTGTTTCAAGGGATTGTTCTCTCTCCTTTAAGTGTTCAATAGTGGTTAATACTTTTCCTTTACTATTCTTTAATTTCCACAGAATGAGTAGTGTTGGATTTTCTTTAATTTCTGATATTGGAAATTTATGTCTTGTCTATTTTTCCTCAGCCTGTCTAGAGATTTATTAACTTCAATAATCTTTTCAAGGAGCTAGCGTTTTTAGGCTTTGGGAATATTTCTCTAAAGCTATCCTTTCTCTCATTTCACTGATTGCTCCTCTAAGTTTTATTATTTTTGGTCTTCAGCTTACTTTGGTTTAAAATACTCTTCTTTGTCTAGTTACCTAAGACAGAAGCTCACAGGTTATTGTTTTTATATTTTTCTTCTTTTCTCATATCTGCATTCCATAAATGTGGTGAATTATATTTTCATTTTGTTTAAAATATTTTTCTAACTTAAGACTTCTTATACCCATAAGCTTTTTAGAAACGTGTTGTTTAATTTCCAAATATGTGAGGATTTTCAGATGTCTTTCAGTGACTGATTTCTAGTTTAACTCTGTTGTGGTCTAAAAACAGATCGTTTTGTTTTTCAGTACCGGAGATTGAATCCAGAACCTTCACGCTGCTCTAAACACCCCTCCCCCCCGCAAACACACACCTCTTTTACATTTTTCAAGACAAGACCTTGCCAAGTCACTACATTGCCCAGGCTGGGCTCAAACTTGCAATATTCCTGCCTCAGCCTCCCAGAATGCTCAGATTACAGGTGTGCATGACTACAAAGCACATAGTTTTTAAGATTTCTATTCTTTTAAATTAGTCAAAGTGGGTTTTATAACCCAGCAGTGGTCCATCTGGTGAATGCTCTGTGTGATGTTGCACAAAATACATTTTCTCTGGCTTTTGGATGGAGTACCATGACCTTTAAAACAAACAAATGAGCATTAAATCTAGACCATTAGAAGCCTATTCAATAAAAAAATAAAAACGGTATTTACACATATCCTAAATTTCTCAGAAACTGAGTCTACATGTAAAGAAAGAGGCACCAATGTTTAAAGATTGCATGAACCCAAACTGAATGCTTTATTTGATCCTCTAGGAGATGGCTTCATATCCTCATATTTTCAGAAACATTTACAAACTAATTGTTCTATGTCATAATTGAATAGCTGGCACATTGTAACATTTCTTTTATAATTTGACACTAACCATAAACTAAGAAGACACAATATTATATATTTGAACTCCTGTGCAAGAAATAAACAAATGAGATTTTTGTCTATAATTATGATTATAGTTGGAAAGCTGAAAGCTTCCATGCCAGTTTTTCCTTTCCTTTTTTTAAGAAGTAAAAAAAGGCAATGTTTGCCAAATGCAAAGAGGAAGACACTTCATTTTTAATCTCCTAAGAGATTACTTAAAGAACATTTTATAATAACTAGTTCTCAGAGTCTTTGAAATGCTTCATTTATATGACACCAACTTCCAATTTAAACATAGCTGGAGTGAATAAATTACATAGAAAAGAGGTACAACTACACATCCCATAGGTTTCTATAGCACTCTGTCTGGATATTACAGTCAATAAGATTACACAGCAGATCTGTTATTTGCCAGCCACTCTCTTGAGGACAAAATTATACTTTCCAGAATCTATCAGTGTCTACTCAAGAGAATATACAACTGAATAAATAAAAGCTGATATGTAAATTGAGCAAGTCAACTAATAAAAATCCAATCGAGTCAAAACATCCATCCATTGAGCTTTAGTAGCATTTCACCCAAACCATACAAAGGCTGTGTACAATTGGATCCAAAGCTCACCACGGTGTAATGTTAAAACTTCATTTATACCGATTCTATATTCACAATACTCTGTGGAATTCCTTCCTTACATTTTATGTTCAATCCTACTATAATTTCAGTTAATCACGTGAACTACTTCAAATTTGCATACTATTTCCATTCAAATAATACAGAGAATGAAACTGATTCTGAGCAATTACTACCACGAATGCGCAGGTAAAGAAGGGTCCCACAGGACAGTTCTGTGTTCCAGTTCAGCCAAAAGTTTGCTAAAGTATGATGGCGGTAGTTAAAGGCCAGCGTAGTTCCCAGCTAGAGTAATGCTTGTGAAAATTACCTTTCGTTGAATCATCTTCTATGGGCTGTTTGAACAACGTGATATCCTTGAATGTGCACAGGAACAAGACCACCTTCTCATGTTCATTTCTTATTGGTGCAATTTGCATGTAAAACCAAACGGGGGTTCCTGAAACAGGGAGAGGAAGGACAACAGTGTGTGACATCGCCACAGCAGTGGCTCTCTCCCGCCTCCCCTCCTCCTTCAGATGCCAGCCGCTATGCCAGGAATTAGCACCAGGACAACGGACTTGCACTGCCGCAAGGAATTAAAAGAAACTTTTCATTTTATATAAACTACCAGTTTTTCATATTTTTCAAGCCCAAAACTAAAAAATTCTGAAGTAAAGCACAGCATGTCACCTCACAAGGCAGGCACATGAAGGCAGCCTTGCTGTGTAAGGAAGGCCAGCCTGGCTCTTAGGTCTAGGCCCCTACACCTCCACTGCTCACACAGGCTTCGTGTTGACAGTCTCGCCGAGTGTGATCAGCCTGATCTGCTCCTCTCATCTTGTCACTCTGACAAGTGTTTCCAATTAACTGCAACAGCAGTGCCTGATGCTCCGACGAGTGCTCCTCGTCCCCAGGTCCTCTCATCAGTCAGGCTGACTTATAGGACACCTCCGAAGCTTTCGCTGCCTCCCTCATCGGAGAGAAGACATCGACCCTCGAGCCTGCTGCACACCGCGCTCCCGCAGAAAAGGCTGAAGTCAGCCTTCAAGAAAAAACTGTCAAGCTCCTAGTCCTTCAGAATTGCTGGCGCCTTCAGGAGCCTCTGCTTCCAGTACCCCTCACTCAAAGCATGGGGCTGCACTCTCCCACCTCATCCTTCAAAGAAGAGTTACAGGACACTCATGTGGAAGAGGGTTTCGGAGCATACAAAGCTTAGGATCTGACAAACCAGGAACTGACAAGTACAAATAATAACTGGATAAAAGTACAAGAAACATCTTCAAAAACTAACTATTAAGTGATAAAATGCTGAAGGAATATTCCATCAGAATCAAAAGACACAATTTTCATTGTATTTTCACCAAGACAGAGTGCAACGAAGTCCCTCTATATATTCTATCAAAAACAATATATAAAGGGTTTTTTTCAGGTTTGGAATTTAGAGTGTAAAATATGCAGCTATTAATAGTCTGTAGGTAAGAACTGATAGCTTCTTCATTACTACTACTAAAAAAACATGTAAGAAGCATCTTCACACCTGTATTTTTTTATAAAAATCCACCTAATGTCATTTAGATAAGGTGAGGTGACTCAACTATCAGACAGGAAAGCTAGAGAGGAGATTCCTGAAGCAATATTCAGTACTGGTCACCATGTCTTCTGTACCCTACCAGAAGCATGGAAGACATGGTCCTTTCCAAAAGAACTGCAGAAGAAGAAAAGGACCTTGAAAAGAATCACATCATCTCCGCAAGAGGCCCCTTCTTTGTTTTATGTTCCTGATTGTACGTAATTTACCCAGAAACTGTGAGTGAAGAGTACAGTCTTCTAAATAACCAGCCTAGTGATGTTCATGTACACGGGGCCTCTGGCAGTCACACAGAGCTTCAGGTAGAGTGGTCACATGCAAAAACAAAAGGGCATTAAAAATAAGTCACTTCCCAAGGTCCCTTAGAACTCTGAACAGAAAGAGATGATGTTACATTTCATGCCTTCCCGTGAAAATAGCAACTTTTCAAATGCACAGAGAGACAGGACTGTTTTCAAAGCCACTTTCAAATAGCAAAGTAAATTTTTTTTAACTTTTTAACCCACGGGGTCAGGCTTCCCCAAGCAGGCTGAATATCTGCCAAATTGTTTATATTCTGGATTTCTGGTCCAGGAAGAGGGGCCTGGAGGGTTAGGCAGAGAAGCTTGCCAGCCTTTGGAATCCATTCGGGAGGGGCGACTCTGTCCCAGGTCTGCCTGTGTACACAGAGCTATTAAATCCTCACCCCAGAGATGCTGTCTTTTTCACCATAGTAGAAACAGGCCCCGATAATCAGAACAATGGGCCTAAAGCACAGAGACTGCAAGCCAAGGTGTCCTGATACACACTAACAGGTACTCACTTCCCTCCCTCTGCAACAGTCTTTAACCTAACCACTTAACAGAAGTGTTGTGAGGACTTACACGAAGGCGTTTTCAAAACAGGTTTACACAGATATACATATTTTTCTAACTTTTTTTTTTTTTTTGGTACCATGGATCAAACTGGGGCCCTTGAGCTTGTGAGGCAGGCACCAGAACCACTGAGCTAAACCCCCAGCCCTAACATTTTAAAAAAGTCACAAGAATATATTTTTCAACTGATATTCCAATGCATAGATAGTACTTATCCTTCATATTAAAGTAAAAAAAAAAAGCAAAGCCCAATACACACAGTTTACAAAAAAGTGACAAGAATGTCAATCTATATTTCCATGGAGTGTAAAGAGACACACACATACATATAGACAGTTGTCTGAAAATAACCAGGAAGGCCTGAACAAGGGTTGAATAACAATTTCAATCCATTAACATAACTATTGAAACTACCAGAGAAAGAGAATTTTGGAAATACAAATTTCAAGTTATGACTAACATGATTTAAAGTAAATAAAGAGAGCTGCCTGCCTGCCTGAGATCACCCAGCGGGTGCGCGACCTCCTGGACTGCGCTACAACAGACCCAGTAAGGAAGGTAGCTGCCCCCCATGACCTTCCCCCACCCCCGTTCTCAAACCTCCTGATTGGGCCAGTCCTTAGACCAACTCTGCAGAGGCATAGGTTCTCATGAAGGGTAGTTTTCTGAGCTCCCAACTTTGAACATCTTTTGAAAGAAAGGGCAGGGGAAAACTGTAATAGAACTGAGTGGAGTTCAACCCTGAGGGTAGGGAAACTCAAGTTAGGCCTTGTAGACTGTGTTCAGTCTCAGTCGTGGGGAACTGCCATTGGCTAGCTGAGACCAGGGGATTTGGTTCTGCATATGGCTGTACATGTGGTATAATATGAGAACAGAGACAGTCTGAAAGAGGCCCCTCAAATTCTTTTTTTTTCTCTCTCTCTCTTTTTTCTTTTCCTCATTCCACCCTAAAATTTCTTTCTTTTTTCTGTCCTCTCTCTCCAACTCAGTCTCTTGCTCCACCATATTGTCCCTCATCTCCATCTTTATTCTGGCTCCTGCCCTAACTCAGACTTGTTCTTTTATTATTTTTTGTTTTTAGGAGGGGTTTCTCTTTATGTTCTTTTCTCCAGTCATTTTACCTCACTCATGGCTCTGTACCTTCAAGGGAAGGCAAGCACCTGTTATTGTTAAGGGGATATATTCTTGTCCTTATGCCTGCACTCTCTCTATCCCCCTTGAAGCTAATAGCTTTGTAAAGATAGTAAGGTAATTCTACAACCTCTAGATTCACTTCAAACCTGCTCTAATTCTTTCACTTATCTAATTCTCTCGTTCTAAGTCTAACCCCCCATCCTAAATGGTAAAGATGCTATATTGAAAAGCATATTCACTGCAAACATACTATGGGCTACTTCTTGAAATGAATTTAATTCACATGAGTTAAAGGTGATACATTAATGACTACCACAAGTGGTCAGTTTGCAAGCTGTGCCTGATCCTATTGGGCTGCTGAATGTATCAATAGGGATAAAGGGTTGTGAATGATTCAAAGAGTTGTTTTCTCTGATATTATGAAAATGAGGATGTCTATGAGTCATTAGAAACTCAAAAGCTAAAACGCAATTATATTAGGAAGATTTAAGTAATACCCAGAAATTAAAGAAGGACAACCCAATAATAAAAATTAAAATAAGAAAACACTTAAGCAAGACATAAAAACAGATTTCCAATTCACCAATGGCAAATAGTAGGACAAATGAGGATGAAAAGTCTGATAG